TTCGTTCAAGTTCATGACTTTTGTTCTATTTTCCAAATGATGAAAATTGTTACATCAACGTGCATATGTATAGAGAAAGAGAAAGAGAATGAGAGAGAGAGAGAGAGAGAGAGAGAGAGAGAGACGGACAATATTCAGAGTAGCTTTTCTTTTTTCTATTCTGATCGCTCATTATTAAATACAAATGACCCGTTTCTATTAAAAAATTAAGAATACGTTTATTCATCTTCTATAGATGTTAAGATAAAGGTGAGGAAAAAGGATATTTTGTTAGCTTCCAAACCGCATTTAATGATAATAATGATTCTTAACATTGTTATCCATCCCATCCATTATTCAAAAAAAAATTCCATCTTTTTAAGAGCTTATACTCGTTTATATTTAATGTTATTATATTGATTCCTTTATCTACTATCAACATGGCCTTTTCAGAGTTGCAGTTGAAAGTGTAATTATAGTAAGAGAGCTATTATCTCCTTTGTTGGTCAAATAATCTCATTCGTATTCTCTTTTCAATCTTCCAAAGTTAAGGTTTAACGTCATTCTATTCTAAAATAATTTGCTCTTTCAGTTAAGTTAATATTCAATATTTTATTTTTAATTTGTTCGATATTAAGTGGAGCGTCTCGTCACGTTATCATATACACGAGACATATGATGACTCAATTTTTTGGAGGATTACTAAGTAATGTTGTTAAGTATACTCAGGTTCAATCTTTATTGCGTGAGGTTTATCAATTTTATTTCTTTTCTATCCTTTGTTTCTTACTACAGCGTTTTGATACCTGTTGTGATTTAAAAAAAGATAGTTAATGTGTTGTTAAATTATGTTTTATGCTTATAATAGATATTTTAGGAATGAGAAGAAAGAGCCGACGACAAGTTTCAATTGAAAAGATTGTGGAATAAAAAAAATTTAAGATCAAATTTCGTTTTATACAGCAGAGAATCATCTTTATTTTAATACATTGACAAGCTCTTAAAAGACACAGCAGTATTCTTATGAAATATATAACTATCGCTCTAGATGAATGACTACTAGAGTTGTTCCGGTTCTAATTACAAAACTGTTCTATTAACACGTAATATCTAATGGTCATTATGACATATTCTTCCAATCAAACGACCACATTCATCCGCTTGATTTGTCTGAAAAAAAAAATAATAGTGATCATTTTATTTTCTGTTATTGTATATTTCATAATACTTGGTGCATGCTGACTCTACTAGAAAGGAAGTCCCATTATTTTGACAATGTATACTCAACTTCACCATTAAATAACCATCGACCAAATCTATATGTATTTTTCTTTCAATAAACTGAACGATAGGATAGCTGTATTATATATAGAATAATTTAGATCTAATTTGTTGCTTAGTTTTCGCTTTATTTGAGAAATTTGAAGAAGAAAAAAACATTAAGTGGTCTAATTTTGAAATAAATACCCGATAAAAACGAAATCACGCTTAATTTTGATCGTAAGTATTTATTTCTTATCGTAGTCAAATTATGTTTGAATGAAGAAGATCACTATTACAATGTATATACATAATCCAGTTTTATAGTGACTAACAAGTGACCTTTAAGAAGCCTAGAATTGCACTTGTGTATAAATTCTAAACAAGAAACTGACAGTTTTTATTGGTACTCCGTTTCTTATATGTAATTATCATTCTAAAACATAAAATTTGAAACAGTTTTCTCTAGATCTCTTATTATCTGTCAATATTATCTATGGCATATTAAAATGCTGACTGGTGTTTCCCTATCATTAGTGTCAACTGTATCACAGAATTATTCATCACAGATAAATTGTATAATTATTTTCTCTGTATGTTATCTACTTATAAGTTTCTTCGTCTAAAATCACCATCATGTTATTCAAAAATAAATGTCTATCTCTACTGTATTTAAACAAAGTATGCTAGAGAATTTTTTTTCCGTGTAATAGAACGTAGTCCATAGAGTAAAAAAACTATATAAACGTGAGGTATAACTTCGAGAAGTTTTTTCACAATATTTTTTAAAAATTTCAAAAATGAAGCGTACCTTTTTGCTCACTTTATTACACAGACAAGTTTTGGTAAATATATGAGATATTTTGATGAAAAGGAGGAGATAGATAAAAGATTTTATTCTTTAGTATGAATCCAAAATTGAAAATGTTTCTTTATGTTTTTTTGCAAATAAACTGCATTTTCTACATAAAAATCGTTCTGCACGATAGAGAAGTTTATCGGCTATTAATATATGTGCATCTAAAGTTTAAGATTTTGTTGTTCGTGTAATTAAATGTTTTTCTCAACAAGTATATGTGTAAAAGCGATGATATTCATCGACTACTAAAATTTCATATTAGAAGAACTTTCTACTAATTTCAAAATCCTTTTTATAATGTTTTATTAATACTGTCAAAGTTAAAGACAATTGATTGAACTCGATGAAAAAAAAACTTTTAATTTTCGTCACGTAACTTTGCAATCACGTTTGCTATACGATTTTCCAGTCAAAAGACTAACTACACTGTATATCATGGAAAAAATGGGGCACTTCACTTTTAAAAAATACAGTTGTGCCTGGTATTTAGATCATTCAATTTTGTTGAGGGCATAAGAATTCTATTTGAATACGGACAGATTGAAGCGGAACAACATCGTCTCGCTTAATAAAAGGAAAAGTTTCTTAGTATGAGTTAAAGCCTTTTTGAAATTTCAGCTTTTTTATTTCATAGACTTGTTCAAAGATCCAAACATTTCTAATAATAACAACGAGTTTTATGCTATGAAAGTTGCTTTTATTCATTCTTTATTATTCTGAGAACATATCGCATTATCCGAAAGGTTATAAAAGAACAAAAGCATTTTTGTGCATTAGTTATAAGAAGTCAAAGTGTTGAATTTTCAACAGAGAAAGAAAAAAATGAAGAAATAATAATGGTAAAAATACAAAATGTTGATTTGATGACAATAATTGAATTCATCTCGACATATAGAGCATGTCTCCCGTTCACCAACTATCTTTATATTTGTCACGCAATCGATAATTGCTTAACATAAAGAGTTTTTTAGATACATAGAGGATTTTTAAATATAGGCCCATTTTACATGTTTACAGTTAATTATAATAGTATGTATTAAGAATCAAATAATGTACATCAATCATAACAAGACGGAAAAATGTTATACTAGAAAAAAATGTATATTTGAATATTGTTGAAATATACGCTACTTTTAAAAATATTTTTCTAAGACTATATATTCGAAGTGACATCATCATACTTTTGTAAAGGAATTTAATACATACAGGTTGCTTATTTTAATTAGAAAAATATGATAAAATGATCCATTTCACATATTTTTTCATATGTTTACTACAAATCATGTATCAATATCTCTATGAACAACAACTGACGTTCGTTTCTTATATTATTTATCATTTAATCTCCTCAGTTATATACCTTCATGTATATAACGATTGAACTTCTTTACATATATTAGAAGAAGAACCACACATACGTCCCCTTTATATTTTTATATTCACACAATTGATATGTACGGATGAATGTATATGCTCATTCTTATAATAACACTCAATCTTTCTCTCTCCATCTTAGGACAATAAACTTTCAGAGACGAGACGTTGTTTTTTAAATCACATCTTTCTTTTTTTTTCTCTTTTGCGGTTTATTCATCAAAATTTTATAAAATCATAAGAAATAGACACAAGAGATAAATAGTGTTCATCATTATCATCATTATATATTAAGACAGAGCGAAAAAAAAGAAAGACGATATTTTTTTCGACCAATTTTTTTGTTCTTCTTCTATTATTATTATATGATTGTTATTATTATTTCTTTAATATATATGTATATATTTGGTCAATTCGACGTTCTTTACCCCTACAACGTTCAAAAAAAAAAGAAAAATACAAATCTGTTCTGACAATATGTAAACAGCTTTTTTTTTTTTTTATAATGATGATGATGATGATGATGCCGAAAAAAATAGAATGAGCAAAATGAAAACAAAAAAAAAAAAAAAAAGAGAAATTCTCGACTTACACATCGTGTTCTTCTTTCTTAAAATGATACGATTGATGTTCAATATCAATCAGTGATCAGAACACAGTAGTTATAGAGGTACAATGTGTTAATAGTAATTACTAAGAAACATGAAATAGTTAGTTGAAGGACAAAAATCGTAGCAACAGTATTTTTTTGTGTTTAGTATAGATTGTGTTCATGAGGATTATTGACTATCAGGTAAGACGTACAATCAATTTGTTTTACTTCTATGATAACTATACAACATAGACTTCTATTCTATTTAGTGATATATTTTTTTTGTTTCAGATAATGGAATGTGAATATTCTGATTTTTTTATTAAAAATATTATCACCAATTATGGTTACGAATTATTGTATTTACGTCTATTTGAGAAGAAAAAAACGGATTAAAATGAACAGTGATCATTTTATCTATTGACATAATTATCAAATATGTACTATCACTACGTAATAAATATCGTTGTATTATGCAAGTTACTCAAATTATATTCAAGTTTGTCTATTTATCATTCATTTCATAATAAAATTCAGAACAAATCAAATCATTCAATTTTATCAGACAATTTAACTAAATTGAACAAGGTTAGATTTCTTATTTTTGTTATATATCGTTATACCGATAAAAGTCAACTTTCTCTATTTTTCTTAACTGTTCATATAATACTCAAAACATTTATTAAACCTTCTTGTAAATTGTCCTAAAGCTGTTGTGACCATTAAGAGTGATATATTACTGTTGCTTTTAAAAGTAACAGTAATGTGCCATTCCTAGTGACCATGTTGATAAATTTAAATGAGAAAACTAGAGTTAATAATATGTTTGTATTAAATTGTTGAACGTAGTCCGTTTATTCTTATGTAGTCTTCTTCTTGTTTCGGTATAAACACATGTAGAAAGAGAGAGGGAAATGCTAATCCGTGTATACGCCTATGACCAGTCACAAAAATAAAGAAAAAAACAAAGTGGGAGATGTGGACAATGATAAGGAGGTTTGTTTTGTGTTTTAAACAAAAACGCCTTCTAGCATTTATGAATTATCACAAGAAAGAGAAAAACCATGAACAATATGTTATTATTAGATAAAAGGTTTCTATGTATATCATCATTATCATCATCATCATCATCATCATCATCTGTTTGATATTAATGGATAAAATGTATGAGAAATAAATATATATTTCATCTTTGTTTAAGCTTTCAAAGCCTTTACATCTAAATCTTTTTAGCATAATCTTTACTCTGTAGGTTAAACTCTAACATTGTCCTATGTACATGGAAGTTTTTTCACAGTTGACATATCGCATGGTGCATAATCTAACTCAAACAGATATTTAAAACAGTCTTTTAAATGCATTTAGTGACATCTCAAAGAAATTGGAGAGATGTTTGTGTGATGGGTTAGGTACAATGTTGGAGTTAAAGATAAATAGAGTGTGTCGAGCTTGAGGCGAGCGTTTATTTCTCTTTTCATTTCCGCAATGAATTTAAACGCAGATTTATACATGTTTTTTCGATAATTGACCTCTTTATACATATTTATCCTAAAAACGACATACATCAAGTCATTCAGTTTAAAAAACAAAAATTTGCTTTTTTGCCCATTTGTTCACAACTAATTTTGAAAGCAAAACTAATCAAAAATATATACATTATTTTTTTTTCTAATATTCAACGAATAAAGATTAAGAGAGATTACATTCACAGACGAAATGTTCTAATGATTTTTTTTACTCTTACTAATGACAACTAATAGCTAACTATGAACAGCACAGTAGACGCATTCATGTTTATATAAAATGGTTATTTATTGTAAAAAGAAAAGAACTTTTTGAGACAACGAGAATAGGTCAGATATTAAGATTAATCATCACAGTTCTATAGAATAGTAGTGGCGACAGTAGTAGTAATAATCGCAATAAGTTCAAAAGGACTTTATAATGTGAAAAGGTGAAAAAAAACACTTTTAATTTTAAATATAGACGCCTGAAGATGATACTTGAACAAAAGAGAGAAGAAAAAAAATACTAATAATTATTTTGAGACATAAATGATTAAATCAAGTAGAAATGGTGATAAAACAATTACAATTAAATAGCGTATGGTTCAAACCTCTCGATTATAAACATGAAATAGAGTAGTATAAAGTTTTTTTGTCTTGACTTAGAGAGACGAAGAAAAATATAAGACTGATAATCTCTAGAAATATGGATATTTTTTTTATTTCTATTTAGATATCAAATTCTTTCGATTGTTCTTGTCGTTCAAATGTGAATATTCGTTCACCTACCTGTGTTAATTTGACACCACTTGTGTTGTCAATAAATACAACACATTCAATTTCTGTTAACAGAAATACTTGTTATACATTTAATCATTATCAAATATCGTTTACATTTCAAAATAATTATATAAAGGCTCAAGTCTTCAATAACAAACGAATATGTACCAGTATTAAATATGAGAATAATTCTTTAACGTCGCTCAATTTATTCATAACTAATAAGAGTTTATCATCATCTACTGTAGAAAGTATTATACATTTAAATAATGAATCAATTATTCTTTTACACAATAATTTTATTCAATGTTATGAACAAAAACAAAAAACAATCAATAATAAATGTCGTCGATTTAAACGAAATAATTTTCAAAATCAAAAATCAAGTAAGTCAATGAATGTAATTAATTTTACAGATTTTCAAATGTTAATCGACATTTTATATTCATATGATTGTATAATTTATGAAACAACACTTTTTTCTTTTAACTGGTTTTATCTCAGTAGTAACCTCTTTCAATGCACCTGTCCAATACTAATCATCTGTTCATAAATCGGAACCTTGATCTGTTGGATTTCTTAATTACGATATGTTGTAACATTATTTTGAACAAATCATGCAGAATAAAGTGGTGAATCTAGTAATAAATCTCCTGGGTCTCTATTGTTAAATAATATACACGATGTCGATGTTAAATGAAGTGGTCACGCGAATAAGCATAAGAACAAATTTTTAATTGAATGTATAGTTGCTCTAATCATTTATTTATTTAATTACATAATAACACTACGTATCGTTAGAAAAATCTGAAGAAAAAAAAAAGAGACCAATATTATTGAACCTTTTTATTATCAAATTAAGGTGTTAACGTTATAAATATATTTCCAAGAGAGATAAAATGCATCTGTACTTCATTTGAGTAAATATATGAAACATATCAACAATTATATTATTAACAACAGGATGTACACAAAAGATCATTCTTGAAAATTAATAAGGAAATAACGAGTAGATATCATTTTGTGTAGGTGAAGGGATGCATAGATTTTATAGGATAAAAGCATCTACTGATTAAAGTACCGCTTAAACAAACATATGACTAATCAACCATTATTAAGTACATCTAATTAAATAGTCACAAAAGAAATATAATTTTTGTGTTAATATGTATGACCTTGACCAGATTATTAAAATAACTAGAACTTGTTTGATCCATAGTGGTCATTAAATGTTTATCATACCGTACTGAATATGTTCTCTTTTACATGTTTTTCTTCAAACATGATAGTAGAGAAAAAATCTTCAGTTTTGTTTAATTGATTCAACATCTGAGAATACATTATTAATCTATTAAAAGATAACCATTATCCAGAATCTGAGACGTTTAGTTGATGATTTTTTTCCATATTCATTCCACATTTTCAATATGAATCGATTTTTATTCACAATATAAAAATGTTTCTATTTTAGGTTCAACTATTGTTACATTTAACAGTACATCATTCATTGAATATCGTCAAAAAAATTTACAAACAATTAAATATCCATTAAAATTGTCATTACGTTTTCGAACAATAGGTCGAATTTCAAATGGTGTACTACTATCATTAACAAATCGAAAAAATTTATTACCATCAAATATTCATCAAGTGAATAATAATAAATTAACAATATCAGAAATGAAGTCACGTTTAGATATTCCAACACCTTATATTGTTATTGAACATTCAACATCAAGAATTGAAGTAACAATATTAAAATTTGATAATATATTAAAAACTGTTAAGGTAAGTAGTATTAAACATATACATTTACAATTAATGTCAAAACATTGATCTTATTGAAGAAATATAATAAGATAATTGGTTAGATCTTTTTTCTTTATTTTTTATTCACTAATCTATATCAATATGGTCTAACTCTATTCATCATATCATCATTAGTACGATACACTTTTCTTGTCATATTTATCTTCAATTGATAATAGACCATAAAAACATTACAGTCATCTCAAATTAGTCATTTTCTGTTTAAAGATAATCGAGTATTCTACAATGAATCTTTGCGTTAAATATCGTCCTTGTGTAGTGAAGTATTCTTTAAATAAAATAATTTGATAAATAAATGTTTATGAAATTTAGATATTTTATCGAGAAAATGTAAATTTCTTTTTAAAATAGATAGTGAATAGGGAACCCATTTATTTTTGTAGAATTCACATGTTATAAGCTCAATTGGTATTAGAAATTTTCAGTTAATAAAATGGTACAAAAATCTATTCGTCAAATCACAGTATAGAATAAGACAAACATTGCAATGTTATTATTTGATTTTATCCTTTATATAAATAAAGATTATTAGTTTGTTCAGCTAGTTTCACAAATGGCTATCAGAACAAAGGAGAGAAGTAAATCTGGATTTGTTTCGATACTTTGTATATATGCCATTGCAATCTAGACTAACAAATATTGTATAATTTTGTTATCGATCTCAATTTCTTCTTCTCCATGGTCGCTCTATTCTTTTTTTTTTTTTTTTGTCATAGTTAATCTATTTTCTCATTAATTTTAAACAAGCCTTTCGAAAAAAAAAAAAAAAAAAGTTTTGCGTTTTTCACGCACCATCTAGCATGATAGTGAGAAAAGATGAACGGACGAAAAGAAATGCAATTTTGAACATATATATTTTTTTATCGTTATTTCTTGTTCATCTTTTTTTCTCTCTATTTATTTATTCATTATTATTCTAAGTTCGATTTTTCTCTCCCTCTTTCTCTTTTTCTCTTTATCGAAAGTAAATTTAATTTTCATTAGATAAGCACAGTTTAAACAACAGCAATAGCGACAACAAAAATAAAAAAGACAATTTTTAATGACGTTATGGTTTTGTTTCTTTTTATGAATGATTCGGAGAAGAGATGAGAAGTGCGAAATATTATTTTTCTTCTTTTCCCCAAGGTCTTTTTACATGATCTATACATAAGAAAATCAAGTCACACATATTAATTAGGATAGAAAGAGAAAAATAAACTAAGAGAAAATACTAAAATATAAATTTAATTTGATCATAATCGTTCATGACATGACGAACGATATCCATTTTGTTAAACAATTAAATTTAAAAAATAAAATAAGATTTTTTCAGCTATCGTATACATATATAGAGAGATCGAAATAAAATATATATATTAGATATAAACATGTTTTGATAACAACAAGACATATCGATTCTAAACACTAACGGGTGTTCCAGAATAAATCGGTCACTTAGTATTTTCTTCATATCTTAATTGGATTTTATTCCCTAAACTTTGTTGTTTTCTTAAAAGATGTGTCGTAAAATTCTCTACAAAAAATATATTAAACATTTTTCTATATATCGTAAAGATGAAAGAATATAGAAGAAATACTGCGAAGCTTCGATCTCGATTACTTTGCAACTCAAAAAACAATTTTTTCAATTTTAGTCCTTCATACTTTGTGAAACAAAAAACAAGAAGATGGCCATTTGATAGCC